TACCATAGCAAAAAGAACTTACATGACTGAAAATTTCAGTGGCATTACTATTACCTTTGAGCATCGAAGGTAAATGCCATAAATTCATCTGAGATTAGTTGTTTATTCAGATTATTTCTAGAGTACTTTCCAATTCTATAGTTGTAGACAAATTATATAGACAAGAGGGTATGATTTGGTTTGTTAAATGTGTTTATATAGGGAAGATTGAAAGGGAGCCATGACCATGTGGGTAAAATGATATTGTACAATGTACGTAGATTTTGGAGCCAGGAAAACGTGGATTTGAATTCTGCATAAAAGTGACCTGGGGAATTTACTTAAGCACTCAGCTTGTCAGTTTTGTCATTTGTGAAGTGGAAATAGCAGTGCCTACTCCACTATTAAAGACCAAGTGAGATATTCAATGCTTATATCCTCTTTTGTGCTTGAGGCATAGAATTTTAGTTTTTGTTCTAAAGTTCTATGAGAGTGACTTAGTTATACATAAACCTTTTATGTTTTTGTGTACATGACTCCTTTATTCAAACCTAGAATTAAACTTTCTGTTGTAAATCAACTATAGTTCAATAAAAAAACCCAAACTTTCTGTTACATATTTTGCACATAAGACTTCGCAAACAGGTATTGTTTTAAGTAGTACTGAGTTTAGATTTATTTGAGCAAAACAAGTAGCAATAGCGGGAAATTGAGGTTTAACAAAAACTAATTTGGGGAAAAATGCACACATAACTCTGGCTCACGTTGAGAACACAACCATTTAAAATGCAGACGCTAAGACCGTTGGAAAGAAAGTCAAGGTGTTTATAATGCATGATGTTGAAATGGTATGTGCTGTATTGATTTCCCTGCTGAGTGGATGTTTTGCTTTTTGATACGCTCTGTGTTTTTAAAGGTTTTGTAGTGTGAATTATAGATGATACCAAAGTATTTGCTAAGCCCCAAATAGCATTTCTTTCTTTCCATTTGATTTTTATTTTTGATGGAAATGTATGTTTTGACGATGCTAAAACCATAAATCTTTTTCAATAGTGCTCTGTTGGTTTTCCTAAGTAGTAGCCAGGGCCGGCTTCCTTTCACAGTCGCTGAACGTTAAACAGCATTGACCATGTTAAGTTGTTAGATAACTGACTAGTTTTGTCAAAGCCCCTCTGGGAGGCTGAGAATTAACCAGGCTTCTGGCTCTCCTTTTCACACTCCGAAGGGAATATGCTAATTCACTATGAATTAATGAATTAATGGCAGTGGCTTAATATTCCATTTCTTCTAATTCATGATTCACTCAGGAACTTGTGCACAAGCCCTGTGTAAGGTGATTTTACTCCATCAGGAATTCACATCTGGAGAGTCGGGCCCTGACTCCTGCATGGTACCCGGCACGTAATAATAATAGTAGTAATAGTAACAGTAATAGTAGTAGTAGTAATAATAATAATAATAATAAAAACACCTGGCTCAATGGATATTTGTGGAATCTATGAAAAATTAACCACTGTCACACTTTGCTATGATGTTTCTGCTCACAAAACATCCAAATAGATTTAATTCAAAGGAGATGGAGAGTAATGTTGTGAACGTGAATCCAGGCCTGTTAGTTTTTCTAGTAAGGCTCCTTGATGTATCTTTCAGGAGCAAGTCCTTTGAGACCCTGTGACTCAGGAACGTGGCACATCCTTGGGCCGGCAAGGCAGCATCAGGATCCTTCTGGGACTTGCATTCTTTTTTTCTGGAGGCTTGATGTCACTATTTTTATTCTCCCTATTCTTTCCTGACCCACTAACGCTCATCTGTTATTCTTTTTCTTATTTGGCCTGTTGTTCTTATATTTTTGCTGCTGTAAAGATCTCAGATATTTAAGGTTTTATGAAAACAGTCCCACCTGGATACATGAAAAAAACATCACATCGTTCTGAGTTTCTCCTGTGTTATTCAAAACCACATGAATTTATCATTTTTCTTTTTTTCAGGCGGATTAGCAGCCTCTGGTCTGTAGATGGCTACCATTATTTATTTGATCAACTAACTTACTTGGGCCTAGGTAGTCCGTGTACATTTCATTTTCTCTTTAGGCCTCAACAATCACCAGTCCATGGAACAACTCTGAGGCATGCGTATTTCCATTTATGGATGAGAATATAGAAACTTAGAGATGTAAAAGTCCTTTTTAATTAAGGGCAATATTTTTGGTTTTTAACAGAGATGGAAGGAGATATAATCAAACAGAGTGTTGTGTCCAGACAAAGTACTGTAGGACAGGACACCTCTGTATAGTTAACTTTCCATCTAGGGCATAAGATGTTTCATTATGAAAGTATTTAAATGCATTTGTTCTGCAATCCTATAAATATCTCTGAGCTACTCCGGGGGCTTCTATAATTTGTAACTTGATCTTTTAATGCCCCATTTCCCCTTTCTTCCTAGAGCACCACTTACTTTCCAAAGTACTGAGGTCTCCTCTCAGATGTTACCCCAACGCTGCCTTCTAAGACAATTCTAGACTCTTCCATCACTATCTATTCCAATGCCCTATTTCATTTCTTCCATGATTTTGATGGTTATTCAAAATCGTAATTTGTTTTCATTTGTATCTCTGATTGGAATGGGAGCTGCTTAGGAAAATGGCTTTTATTTGTCTTATTCAGCTCTGCCTCCCTGGTCCCTAGAACAGTGCCTGGATGAATGACTGCATGTTCTACAGACCAAGGCAAGGAGCATGACTCTGATCCTTAAATGGTGAGGGACGGGTGAGGGCAAGAGCCGGTGGCCCCAGTCACAGCGCGTGGCAGATGTGACGAGGCAGTGCTCGTCTTTGCCAGATGCTGTGTTGTCCTTCCTGCTCAGCCTGCTAAGGTGGGTGCAATTAGCTTTCAGCGTCTGTCTAAACAAGTGCCCGAGTCCCAACACGAAGTGATCATTATCTACGTCCCTACAGGCATTGCTGGTTTGTATGAAGCCAGAGCAGCCTCCGTAGTTACTCATAACTCTTGGGAGGTTAAATCAACCTGAACTAATCCTGGGGATTTCTGTTTCAATGTAGGATATTTGTAGATTGCTTTAAAAAATGACCTAACTCACGGATCCCTGCAGATGAATGCATACACAGGTCCAGATAGAACCCTACTAGTCACCAGGCACTAGGCTAATTATTTTAATACCGTTTGATTTCATCTTCAAACATATCTCGAAATAGGTGCTTTTATTGTCCTCATTTCTCAGATGAGAAGACTGAAGCTTGGAGAGAAGAAGGGACTTGCTTAGGGTCCCACAGCTGGTAGAGGAGGGATGCAAACCCAGCCTGACTCTTCCCAACATTGGTTCTTACTAATTAGCAAAGATCTGATGCTCCATTCTGATGTAGCTTCTAACCGCTAGGAAAATTGTGTCAGTGTGCTAGGAATGAGTGCTCAGTCTGAGGATGGGCCTAACGGGCATGGGCTTAGAAGTGAAGTCAAGCTTCAAATCATCATATTTAAGTCCTAAAAAATAAAGGTCTTATGCAAGTCAGTTTTTGAAAAGAGTTCATCTTTACTGGTTTGAATTATATATGTACTTCGGAGACAGATAGACTTGGATTCTAAACTCACCAGCAATTTAATAGCTTTGTAACCTCCAGTAGTTTGCATTTTGTATTTTTTTTTAAAGAAAATTCAGGCTTTTATTTTTTTAGTTTTATAATTTTATTTATTGTTGGATTGAGTTTGCCAACTTTTTTTTAACATTTTTTATTGAGTTATAGTCATTTTACAATGTTGTGTCAAATTCAAGTGTAGAGCACAATTTTTCAGTTATACATGAACATACATACATTCATTGTCACTTTTTTTTTTACTGTGAGCTACCACAAGATCTTGTATATATTTCCCTGAACTATACAGTATAATCTTGTTTATCTATTCTGCATATGCCTGTCAGTATTTACAAATTTTGAAATCCCAGTCTGTCCTTCCCACACCCCCACCCCCTTGGCAACCACAAGTTTGTATTCTATGTCTATGAGTCTGTTTCTATTTTGTATTTATGTTCTTTTTTTTTTTCAGATTCCACATGAGTGATCTCATATGGTATTTTTCTTTCTCTTTCTGGCTTACTTAACTTAGAAGGACATTCTCCAGGGACATCCATGTTGCTGCAAATGGCGTTATGTTGTCATTTTTAATGGCTGAATAGTATTCCATTGTATAAATATACCACCTCTTCTTTATCCAGTCATCTGTTGATGGACATTTAGGCTGTTTCTTGGCTATTGTAAATAGTGTTGCTATGAACATTGGGTGCAAGAGTGTTTTTTTTATTTTAAATCCTTTTAAGACAATGTGGATTCTAATGCCTATCTCACAAAGTTTTTGCAAGGAGAGCAGCTAATTCAGTGCCTGGCACATAAGATGAGGTGCAAAAGATGATAAAATTGATATATAATGTTATATTAGTTTCAGCTGTATGGTACAGTCATTCAATATCTGTATATACTACAAAGTGATCACCAAAATAAGTCTGTTTACCCTCAGTCACCATATAATTGATCCCCTTCATCAATTTCAACCACTGCCCCCTTTCCCTCTCTGATGACCACCAGTCTGTTCTCTGGGTCTATAAGTTTTGTTTATTTGTTTTTTTGTTTATATTCCACATATAAGTGAAATCATATGGTATTTGTCTTTGAGTTCCTTTTCTTTAAAGTATTACAGTCAGGAATTTTTTGGTTGTGAAATTTTATTTTTCCCCAAATTCTGTGTTCTCCTAGCATATATGTTAAAATTTTGTTTCTATTCTTTTCATTCCTTGTCTCAAGTACTGCTTAAGATTTTCATTAATTTCCCAAAATTTATGTATCACTTCTCTGGAAAAGCTCTTGATAAGGTTCACTTTTTCTCTTCATTGAATCTTCCCAGACCTCATCCTTGACCACAGTCTTTGTTTAATAGCTGACATTTCACACTGTTAACCATGCATGAATCTATGCCACAACTTCTGACATTGTCTGAAAAGAGTCCCTCTCAAAGCACACTTCTGAAAAGATGGGGCATAAGACCTTGAGAGAATGTTTCTATTACCTTGGAAAGTTTGGATTGCTTTTGGATCATTTTTATAGCCATCGTATAGAAACGTGTGTAAGAAGGGAAAATACAAACATGCAGTGGCTTAGTCCTGGCTTGTATCAGTAATGGAAACAAGGGCCATTAACTTGGTTGGAACATATGAATCTGAGAGTGAATTCAGATAGAAATAGCTGACTCCATGCATCCACGCAAGGCAGCAGCTACCTCCAATATGAGAGGGGCAATGTAAAGGCAATAAAGCGTGGATTGTCTGTAATATCTCTCTTGGAATAAGATCATGTTCTTTACGCTTGACAGGCTACATCTAGTAAAATTATCTAAATTTTTGTTCTATTTTTTAGGAAAAACAAGCTGTAGAGCTTGCATATTTATCACAGATATCTCAGGACACAGGTGCAGAATTATAATAAACTTACTCTTCTTTTTAAAAGCTTCTGACTTTCTGTTGTTTTTGAAACCTTGGGTTCCATGACATTTTCGTGCTTCCCCAGTCAATCCCAAGTTATCAGGTGCAAAAGGCTGCTATCGGTGCTAGTACCTAAGTACTCCGATCCTACTGACTCACACCGCCTAAGGATTCCTCAATCAGTGTTCTGCATTCTGCTCTCGGGTGCTACTTTGATTCGAGTTGGCTCCAAGGAAAGCCCTTGCATCTGTGCAGGACTAGAACTACTGAAAAATACTTAAGGTCTCCTTTCACTGGTGGTAGGTAAGCACTATTATCCCCATTTTACAGATGAGGAAACTGTAGCCTAGAGATGCTGAGTAAATCACACAGAGATGCTGAGTAAGTAGGTCACACTGTTTGTTAGCTGCAAACTAGCTGCACCCAAACTCAGGATGACCAACTGTCCCAGTTTTCTTGCGCCTGAGGGGTTTCCTGGGATGCAGGACTTTCAGTTGGGAAACTGGGACAGTCGCAGTAGAACTGGATGGATGGCCCCTCTAGATGTCTGACTTTAGAAACTCTATATGCTTCATCTTTTCGCTTCCAACTCTAAAATATTTAACTCTCCCTAAAATATTTAGCCTGCCACATTCTTGTCACCCACCTACTACCCTACCTTCTTCTGCTAGTTTAAATAGCCTGCCGTGTTCACTGTTGCATTCACTGCAAGACCCTCACTACAAATTGCTGGGCCTCTTTTCTGGGCCACAGGAAATTGAAAGGCTGACAACTTAGTGTCTCTGTGGTCTTCTGGGCGTCTAACCCTATTGGATTTCCAGGCAGAAAATTGTTATTCTTTCTCCTGGGTGACAGCGTTGTTGAGAAACTCAACAATTGCCCTGATTGCAAAGATGACAAGGTCTATGAAGAGAAAGGAAGCTAAAGATCTCTGGGAATTTCAATCCCTCCATCCAGATACTCTGTCTCACGCTTTAAGGATGGTTCCTGTTAACCTCAAATCATCTGTCAGGGTGGCCTCAGCTGCTCTTGGCAAAGGAGGATCCTGATGGGGAAGGCTCTTGGCATTTGCTCTTATTGATCCAGGTTTTCTTAGCAAGCATTCCTCCCTGAAGGCTCCTCCCGTTAGTAGATCCTATTATCTGTAACAGCTTTGGGAGATAACATTTACTTCTGGTGGCTTCTTTGGCTAATAGTAATAATCCTCTTCAGAGCATCTCTTCTAAGATTTTGCTGGAGACTTTTTCTTTTCCAGAAAGCTTTGTGCTTCCTCTACAGCTGATAACTGAGTTTAATGCTTAATAGGTACCAGAGTTCTTGTTAGATCCTCTAGTGAAAACCATGGTGCTCTACCATGCTCTAAGGCAGGGTTTTCACTGTGGGTCCTTACTCATTAGTGGGTAATCAATGGAGTGGGTCAAGACTAGCCATTTTGAAAAAGAAATCTAAAAAGGCTGGACTATAACAGAGTAGAAAATTTGGAATACATTGTGTGTAGTAAGGATTAGCATTGTTTTAAAATTTTTTATTTCATGATTTTACATATACATGTTTTACAAATATGTATATTTGTGTATGCTTGTGAACACTCTCACACATAAAGTATGTACTTGTGATAAAAACTGCATTTCTTACTGACTTGCATTACAATTGTTAAAAAGATTCTAGAAAGATTTTTGTAGAAAGATGTTCATCACATGGTTTCTTCAAATAGTAGAACATTGCAAACAGCCAAAATGTTCAACATCAAGGGATTATAAGTTCCATGCATACTGTATCTACAACATTCATTGCTGTATCCCCTCCAGAGTTTAGCATTAGTGCCCTGTGCACAGTATATGCTCAATAAATATTGTTGACTATCATTGTTGCTAGGAGATTAAATGCATTCTGAAGCATCCATGTGATAGAATTTAATGCAATTATTAAAATATATTCTCGATAATTTTGTAAACGTATGGGAAATGTTCATATTATAATGTTAAGAGACCATATGTTATATAAATATATAATATATATATATATATATATATATATAGTTGTATGTATGCATATATGTGAAAGACTACAAGGAAAAACACCAAAATACTAACTTTGGCTATTTCTGGTTTAGTAAGATTATAATTAAAAATTCTTCATTATCCGTTTTTTATTTTACAAGGAACATCTTTTATTATTACACTTTTATTAAAATTTTTGATTCCTTTGATCTTGCATTAGATAATAAATTTACTCAAAACCATATGGTATCTGCCATACATACTCTACAAAAGTGATCTCTTGAGGGTATTTTCGCTTAATCAACATAAATATATTAAGCTCCTTCTTTGTGAGAGCCACTTAGCCAGGTTCAAGGGAAACAGAGAAGAATGGAGCATAAGCTCTCTTGTAGGACTTCCCAGCCTGCTAGGGAAGGGAACAAGGAAGTAGCTAATTCTTACACTATATAAGTGCTAAGGCGAAGCTGGGACACTGCAATGGGGGATGAATTCTGAGCGCATCACTCCCTTTTGCAAGGGCTTTGCAAGCTCCAAGAAATTCAAGAGCTTGAAAAACATTCTAAATTTCTCTTCCTAAATTTCCCCCTCTTTGCCCAAGGTCTGAAGGAATCCTTGCAAATCAATTCCCAGCAGCAAAGGTAGTCATCTCATAGTCCCTCTAGAAGAGATGTTAACCAGAGGCAACAGAGGCGGTGGTTAAGAACATTGGTTTTGGATTCAGCACACGATACTGTAGTTTATAATTTCATTGCTCTGTGAGCTAGGCAAGTCACTCAATTGATGTGAGTCCCATTTTTCATATCTGTATAATGGGTTAAGGATATCAACCCCTTAGAGTTGTCACTGGCACACAGTAGGATTCATTATATGATCGCAATTGTTATTCTGGGTTCTGATGTTTCCAAATGATTGTCAGCACAGGGGAAGCTAAGTTGATTTTCTCTTCTGAGCATTTACCATATAATACAAACACCAGGAAAGTTCAAACTTCTTATAAATTACTTTACTTTTTAATACAGTATATGACTTTTTCTTGAGAGATTGTGTAGATTAATAGATTGAGAGTGGAGAAATATCTTAATTGAGAAATTGACAATTAGGAGGAAACTCATAAAAATTGTAAGTCTCAGTATAGATTTTTGGAGAAGTTGACTAACAGTGATTATTTTCTTGCTGGATGGGAGCCACTGAGAGGCAGCAGTTTTGAGAAAGGGCCCCTACAGAGATCACCAGTTCATTGTTCCCTTAGCTTCTGGAAAATAGCATCTTTATCACTTTTCCACGATTCTGTGTGTCTGTGTCTATAGCTCTGACCTGGGAAGCTTAATGCTTGTATACCTCAAACAAGTAAGCAAACAAATAGAAGTATACAATAATAACTTGCTAGAAATCTTGTACTTTGTAAAGAAAATGTTTAATTCCTTCAACAGCTATCAATCTATGCTAAAACGTTTATTTTCCTCCTGTTCTGGTGCTGACTCTTTTCCACAAGTATCTGTATTAATCAGGATCCTTTCAGTTGCAAGAGGTAGTTCAGCTTCAGGCATGACTTGATCAGATAGACCAAATGATGCCACTAGGAAGCCATCTCGCCGCCTCCCAAAGTTCTTTTCCTCTGTGTTAACAGCATCCCAAGGCAAGCTCTCCCCAAGGGGTGGAGAAGATAAGACTGAATAATGGCTTCAGGCTTACAGTCTCCCAGTTTAACAGCTGCAGCTAAAAGTGGATGATTTTTCCTGATAACAGAAGTCTTTGGACTGACTTTTATTGGCACAGATTGGAGTCAGCAGGTGAGCTCACCTGGGAAAGGGGAGGTGTCAGCCTATCTGATCCCAAAATGAGATTCGATGCTGGCCATGCAAAAACAAAAGAAAACAACCCTGCCACCCCTCAAAAAACCCCAAAATGAATTCTCACTATGTTATTAACCCAATTTGTTTATTTGAAATAAACATAAAATTTAGAATAATGAGACTCATGAAGGCACTTTTTTCTTCTCTGTGATTTTATTCACTGACAGAGCTTCAGTTGTTAATTCGATGCCATTTTTCTGTCACCACACTGAGCCTCCTTTCTTGACTGCAGTGTCAGTACCACCACTTGTTTGACATCTTTAGCTGAATGTCACACCTTCACCTCACTCAGATATGTCTCTCTTTCTTAAACACATACATAAACAGACACAAAGAATATTTGTGTTTGTGTGTGTGTGTGTGTGTGTCTGTGTGTATGAAAGAGAGAGATAATCTACATGAATTCTTGGTAGTTTTAAAAGTACCTTGTGGACATATAGCTGCTTAAATGAAGCAACATTTCCACATCAGCTGCTTCACTGGTAAAACAAAAAATGAACAAGCCAACATGTGGGCCCATCAATGTGACCCTTTCCCCCGCAAATAATTAAAGGCATCATTATGATTTGATGCTAACAAGCAATGGGAAACAATATGCTTTTCTGCTGGGCCTTCATAAGAAAATCCGTTGACCTATTTCTGGATGTCTGTTCAGACTGAACGTGCCGCCCACTCCATGGAGGGAAAGGTTACGTG